AAAGAAATGTAGTTATGGAAATTCTAATATGGGCACATTATCAGATACAATAATTACAATGCATGTGCTTTATGTATCTCATACCAGCACCTCAGTGGACACACGCTGTTGGACTAGGAACACTTCGATTTGAAACTACTGATGTTATAGGAACACCAAATATTAATACTGGAAGTGCTATCAAAGAAATTGATTTTTTTTTTTAATTTTGGATGGGAATGGTGATTTTATAAAATACATTTTGCACAAAATTATCTGAAAGATACCCATCTTTTTCAAAATTTGTAAAATTTTCAGACATGGCATTGCAGCAAATGAATGTATTCTTTGGTTTGATTATTTTTATGGGAATAATAAAAATGCTGGATTTAAAAATTTATTTTAGCACCAAAGAGATGCTACCTACTCTGTTTTTTGAGAGACATTTTGCGGCATGTTTTTCTTAACATCTTGAAATTTTTGCATTTCACTTTTGAAAACAGTTCCAGAAAAATTGGAATCACTTATCAAAATTCTGCAAAATAAATTTAAAGCCAAAATATATGTATAGATGAATTACTTTTTGCTTGGAAAGGGCAACTAGCATTTAGACAGCATGTGCCTTGCATGAGATCTTGCTATGGAATAAAAATTTATAATTTATGCAAATTGAGTTCTGAGTATGTGTGCAATTTTTTTTAAATTTACTGTGAAAAAGAGACTATGAGCAGTGGTCCTGGTTCATAATGGTGATTTAGTGGTAAGAATACTCATTATTTAGTTACCTAAGAAAGTACAGAATTTGTGTGTTGACAGATTTGTTTTTAAAATTCCTCATCACCTGAATAATACTTAGAATCTATAAAGACAAATCTTTGTGAAACTGTTATGAAGAAGAAGGGTTTTCCAGACAAGACTAAAAAAGGAAGAGAGATATATATATACCTTGCAACATAAAAATATGAATGTGATTGTATTCAAGGAGGAAAAAAAGGATGTCAGATCTAGCTAAATGTGAAAAGAAAGAAACATCGAGGAAAGCTTTATTTTAGCAAATACATGGAAGGCATTGACATAAGAGATGCAGTTGTGATTCATTCTTCCAAAAATCTGTAAAATGATATAAAAAACTGTTTTTTGTAGATTCATATACATTGTACTGTGAATAGCAATGTTCTTTAAGGCAAAAATATGGACTAAAGACATCATTCATGGAAATTAAAATGAAGTTGTTGAACAGATATTTGAAAAAAACTGAAGATTACAGGGAAAGAAAAGTTCACTGAGAGATCATCACTCTCATCTTTAAGACCTTCAGGAGACACTTTCCTACTTTAAATTTAAATAAAAATAAGGGGAAATGCTGCAGATGATGTACAGTTTGCTCACAATCATAAAAAAATAGGAAACGGCAGAAGACATTCTCTATTCTTGTGAGAAATGCAATGTAGGACTCTTCATGCACCCACGTTTCAAAGAATATCATAGACTTTGTACTTTTTGAAATATTGTTTTTTTTTGGCCATTTTTATGCTGGTTTTCTTATGAAAGAGCATTTTAATAATTTTTCATTATGAAATTTGTGACTGTTTGGATACTTTTTCCATATATATATTTATTTGAGGAAAGTCAGAAATTTTACTGTTCTAGAATTTATTATTTTATATAATTTTTAAGGAAAATATAATGATAAAATTTTTTAATTATTTCTAATAACTGAATGTTCCTTTCATATATGCCAAAAATTTGAACAGTTAGACCACAATTTTAATTTGTATGAATTTTCTAAGTTAGGCTTAATAGCATAGTTTTCCTATTCCCACAAGACAATGCATCCAGTTAGTGTGTCGTTCAGAGAGAGATTGGTTCAATGACTGAGATGCTTGATGCAAAAGGGTTGAGATTGTAGGTATGAGACAAAAAATTAGGTTTTGTAGCAATGATCCTCCCCCCCCTTGCTTGCACAATGCAAAAATAAGTAATTCTATATGATTTTTGTCATTTGAATTCATTAAATATAACATACTTAAAATTGTTTTTGTTTTACATTCATCATTGCTAATAAAAACATAGAATATAGAAATTGCTTAGATTATTCTGAATGTTTATTTGTCAGTCACCTGCATTCAGAAAGTTATACCAGAATTCAAAGTATTAGTGTAGCATCAAAAGATAACACTAAGTTGTAAAAGTTTGCCTTATAAATCAAATTGTATAGATTTCATAATATTTCTGTAGCTGAATTCAATTAAATGATTGTAGTTTTCCTATTAAGAGTTACGACGCTAGCTTCACAGATGATCTTTCCAAAGGAGACTGGCTTTTATTCACATTGTATATCAGAATAAACACAAAGATAACATGCTGCCATGTTGATTATCTCAGTTATAACAAAAAGAATTTTTTGAATTTACATTCATTTTAACCATTATGCCTTTTCTTAAACATTAAGTGTAAATACACTTATTCAATGAAGATTATATAAATAAGAATAAAAAATAACACAGGAGATAAGAAGTGCTAAAATTGACAATAAAAAATATGTTGTCAACCATATACACGAGATTCTGACTCTTCATATTTTGGCTTCTTTAAGCAAGCTTTATTTTTAATTCCAATTAACTGAAAACCATGAACAGAACTAAAGTATGAAAAGTTTTTTCAAATAAATATAACTAACACTTTTGATAATCCAAACTTTGATATACCAAAACTTCCTAGGAGGCATTTACATGGTTAAAGTGATGTTAATCAAAAATGTGGTTGTAGTAAAATCTAACAGTTTGTCCGGCATTTAACCTCTTAACACTTTACCGACCACTAGCAGTTCAACAGCATACCCACATCCAACCGGTCGCTCAGCTGCAGATTCTCCCTAATAATAAAATGCAGATGATATAGCAAATGGCAACTGTTTATCACCATGGCTACCGATTGATATTTTTAGGTAGCCCCGAGAAAAAAACGATTAATAGGCTATCAATTGGTAGGCATTGTCAAAAAAAAGCCAATTAATAGGCTATTGGTCAGTAGGCGTTGGTGATAAAAAGCATACCCACGTCCAACCTGTCAGTCAGCTGCAGATTCTCCCTAATAATAAAATGCAGATAATATAGCAAATGGCAACTGTTTATCGCCATGACTACTGATTGATATTTTTAGGTAGTCCCGAGAAAAAAGCAATTAATAGGCTATCAATAGATAGGCGTTGGCAAAAAAAGGCAATTAATAGGCTATTGGTTGGTAGGCGTTGGTGATAAAAAGCCAATTGGTCGGTAAAATGTTAAAGACCAGCGCACAGAGAACAAAGCACAGTCGCGGGACCAAATCCGCTGAAATGGATAGTCACCACCAGCCCACGCATTTTCAGCAGTTAAGCCTAATTTTACACACACAAAAAAAAAATCATATTAAATCGCCATTTTAATATAATGACTTCAATTTTTGAAGTTGTGTATTTAATGTACTTGTTTTAAATATGTATTAATATAAATAGTATCAGATTAATAGAAATAAATTAAACAGGCAAAATACTTAAATTATAACTATACATACAGAAATAAATACTATAAACATAAAAACAAAATTACAAATACAAAATTAAAAAAAGAAAACTAAGCAAGAATTACCTATAGGTAATTAAATTCCAATTAAAAATTCTGCTGTGTGTGGAATTCAAAACAAGAATCCGACACACAGTCCTATATTGCATATTTTGCACTTAATATGTTTGTTTTTCCTTGTTTTTAGCACACACAATGCATCTTCTACTTTTTTTACCTTTTCTGTCAACGTAAATTTTCAGAAAATGTCTTCCAGTCAGACGCTATCTCGGTCTCTTAGCCATGGCTAACGAAATGAAACTGAATATATGTTCCAAAACTTCTTTAAAAGAAACCCAGAAATATTTCATCCTCAAACCCTGTGTGACATCATGTTCATTTTAGAAAACTTCCTGTTTTTCTAGATCGAAAAACAGTGTCCACCGCTATGACCGAAAAGTAATCAAAGAAAGACCCCCTCCCATTGGTGGGATGTCTATTACTGATCAAGTCAATATATACATTATATATCATAATATAATGCCTGAATCATTATATATTATGACCTATTAAATCGAGTAAGAAAAACAAAAACGCTGGCTCTTTCCTGAGAAATGCGAGCGAGTAAGATGCATTACGTGTCGAGAATGCATCTGTAGTAATACTGTAATGTTAATTTTTAATTAACCAAGAAAGCTTATGTTAAGTTTTAAAATAAATAGAAAAAAGGACAACTGGTCTTGAGTTTTTCCATCATGGAAGTTCGGCGACATTACGCCTGCTATAGTCAGCTGAATGCACTTACCCACATTTTAATAATAAGCAAAAGCAAAGAACAAAAGAGAAAAAAATTCTAACGAAATAAACAATTACGCCTGTGCCCCTTTAATTCGCAGGTGCACTTATAAAGAGCCGTGATTCCCAGCTTGTTTATACCAATAAACCTATCGAAACCAGAAGCACAGAACAGAAACTATTTCCAGTACATGAAGGTCAAATGCCATATGAATCAACCCATGTGAAAACAGTTACCATTTAGCTCCATCTACTGACTTGTAAAAATTCAAATAAATCATTTCGTTTTAAAGTTACGTATATGCGACAATGGGGTGCAGAAATCGATTGAGCTGGTAGGAGTCGCGTATACGGAATGCTTATCTTGAACGGGTTAAGCGTACTAGGCACTGGTATATTAAATGTATGGGAATTTTGTCATTTTTTAAAACCCCTTAATATATATAATTTCAAGAAAATAATAGAGTCGAAAGTGCTTTTTTAAAAAAAAATGAAAAAACAAGACTAAAATTATCCCCTTGAGCTGCTGAATTTTTATAAAATTAATTCAAATAGGTAAGGAATTTAAAACCTAACAAAAGCTGCTTAAATATTTGAAGGTAGCATATTTTGTTTCCAGAAACACGCTATAAAAATGAAATACTTAAGAATAACACAATGTATGAACTAAAAATTTTACAACAGGAAAAATTGGAAAAAACAGTACAAAAGTGTGGCTCCAGAGCTGCATGTGGCTGTTTGGCTCCTTAAGTGCGGCTCCGGTACAAATATCCACGGAAGGCGCAACAATATTTTCATTTAAAAAAACTTGGTAAGAAAAAAATTATATCTTATTTTGATAAATTAAAATTCTTCCATAAATCGAGAACATGTATAACTTTTTGTTTGAGTAAAAAGATTAAAATTAATTATATTAGGTATATAGAATATAAGGTAATTAAAATTTTATATTGTTGTGTTGTAAAAATACGTAACGAACATCGAGTTTAATTTTATTAGTTTTCGTAAACGTAAACATAACCATGTACGAGTTACCGGCATGCGGATGCATGCTTTTTAAAGTAGTGAAGGTACAAATTGGCATCACAGAGCAGCAGTTGCAGTGTAAACAGTTTTGTCTTATCTACCGTTGTCCTGTCTTATTAAAAAGTTGTATTTTTTAATGTGTCGATTTCAATAGATGGGGCCAAAAGTATGACCGGCGTAAGAAAAGGGGTTGTTGCTATTTTGAAAGAAAAAATGAATCACGAGATACTTGTTTACCATTGTATCATTCACCAAGAAGCGCTTTGTGCGCAAACATTTCTGGAAGAAATTTGTAAAGTTATGGAATTAGCGATTACCATTATGAACTCCATATTAGCTAAAGCTCTTAATCATCGCCAATTCAAAGAATTTTTATTTGAAATGGAGAGTGAGTACGCTGATCTTCTGCTTCATAACAAGTTACATTGGTTATCAATAGGGAACGTTTTAAAATGTTTCGTGTCCCTTTTTTCGGAAATTAAAGCATTTCTCCTTGAGAAAGGCGTTCACTATCCAGAACTAACAGACGATCAGTGGATCCAAAACTTTTATTTCATGGTAGACGTTACGTCTCATCTAAACAGCTTAATCGTAAACTACAAGGAAAATAAAACTTAATTTTTTCGATGTTAGAAAGTAATAACATTCGAAAACAAATTATCCATTTTTGCACAGGATTTTGAAAGGGAAACATTGTTTCACTTTCCGAGCCTGCTGAAGCATCGCCAAGAAAATAATTCCTCTGTTGATAAACACCATTTTAAAACAATAATTTTAAATATGAGGGAAGAAGTTCTCAGCAGGTTTCAGGAATTTAAAAACAGCAGAGCAACTGTAGCATTTGTCAAAACTCCTCTTAATGCTACGACAATCGAGTTGAAATTTTCTCCTTTTGAAACTGACATTGGTAGCTTTGAAATACAATTGCTGGATTTAAAAAAACAAGGAGATATGGTGCTCTAAATTCGAACGTCTTTGTGTTGAATTAGAAATATTGGAGAAGAAAAAATGTGATCTTAGTTCACAACACAAGTGGTCTGCTTTGAATGACCTGGAGAAGGAAGACATGATCATTTTTAATGCTTGGAATAGTATTCCTGACTCTCACGATCAGCTGAAAAAGCTCGTGTTTGTTGTTCTTTCCCTTTTCGGTTCTACATATATATGCGAACAATCTTTTTTAAGCATGAACATTATCAAGAGTAAACTGAGAAGTCGTCTTATTGATGAGAACTTGGAATCATGCCTAAAATTAAAAACAACATACAAACCTGACTTACTCAAACTTTCCAAGGAGATGCAAGCACATTGTTCTCATTAATAAATATTTATTAAGTATTAAATTTAGTTTTATTTAGTGTAATAAAAGTTTACTAAACAAACAGATTTGGCTCCCAATTTTTTTAAAAATTGTTGTAATGTTTATATTTGGCTAATAAGTTTGCCGACCACTGAACTAAACTAACGTAAACATGTTTCGGTCTAACAAATTCACTGAGACCTCAAACCATTTTACTTGGAACTCAATATTCTTTACAAACTTATTAAACATCTCATTAAAGTCTCTTTTCCTGACATATTTTCGTTTTCTAAGCCACATAAAGTACAAAAGTGCTTAAAGTAATTATTATAAAATTTTGAAAATATATATCCAAAAACTTATATGGCTTAGAAGGGCTAACGATTGAAAGACAAGGTAAATGCAAAAGAAAAAAAATAATCAAACAATTTTTAGATATGAAAATTAACTTGAAAGTCCTATGTAAAAGCAAAAAACAAGAGCTGACTCGACTGTGAAAATTAAAACACTTTTGTCTTTTAAAATCTTGTCAAAGTTAAGAACCTATATAAGTCAATAAAAGAAAGGAGCAATTTTACTCAAAAAGGATAAATGTTTAAAACATAAGATAGAACTAAATCTCATAACCTTCAGTTGACGCTAGCTGCGGCAGCAAATAACCTGTGAAAATTTTGGATGTGTAAAGGTTGCCAAATTTTGAACGAACCTAATGTGGGGGGCTACCAGAAATTGAGAACAGCCTACTCTAAGGAATAGCAAGGCATTTCAAAACCTGAAACAAGCCATTGTTATCTTGTTGCTATGCCAATGGAGGCTTCTTAAAAAGGGGGCACAGTCCCCAAACAACGGCAATGAAAAATAGCGTCATTTGGGGAAGCAGTTTGTTCTAAAAGAGAACTATACAAAATGGCTAAATGTCTTAAGTTTGAGTTCAATCTAGCCAAAAAATAGAAATAGAAAAGTCATCAATCTTCGCTCAGTCAAGCTATAAAAAGGTCTTAAAGAAAGGCCCTTTTTACTTCCTTGTATGAAGTAAAAAGGAAGTATTGTAATCGCAAAAAGATTCAGGCATCACGTTTCAACGTAAATATCCATTTTTATTGCTATCGAATGCAATTTAACGATGTTTTTGCATGACATCTGTACTTAAGGACAGAGTAAAGGACTCTTTTTCCCCAAAAAATTTATGAAACTAATTTAAAATGAATTCTGAAAAGGATGTTTCGTGGCGTCTCTGTGAACGTACGTATTTCGCATAACTCAAAAACAAGTAGCCTCAGAACGTTGAAATTTTGTATATAGGGCTGCTATAACATATAGATGTGCACCTCGTATTTTGGTTGCAATCGGCCGCACCAAACATATATAAATATATGTATATATATACATATTCACTCTGTTAACCGGCTCAGTGATCTGTTTCTTTACTCTTATATGCTTGTAAGTTGCACATTTTTTGCTTTAAAATTGATTGAATTATGTTGTTCTTATCTTCCAGTTAAGGTTTTTATGCCTTTAGTAAATCTGCATGCAATATTTGTGGAATTATCAACAATTTAAAAGTTGTTTTAGTGCAGCTAAGCCTAATGAATTTTATAATAGCGAACATGTTTGCTTACATTTTAAACTTGGCAAAATAGCAGATTTGTTGCCAATCTAGAGAAACTAAGCTTTGCAACAACAAAGATAATGCCTTCTCTCGTTATTGCGAATTAAATCATGTTTAATCCATTCTGTAATTTATTTGAGGGAATAAGTATTTCAGACTTACTTCGTAATTTTTAATATATATATTTTGAGTTTTATGTCTTTTAGCCTTATAGAGAAGTGAGGACTGAATTAAATGAATCGTCTGTGAAAAACTGTTTCTTTTTGGTTTGTTTAATTTCTTTTATACGTCGTTTTAGATTTATTATAATGTTTGAATAGAACATGTGGCAACGATTATAAATTTTTTGCATTCTGAGTGATAAAATGAATGATACGTAACGCTGTTAAGGGAACTTAGTGTAGCGCCAGAGTGTCACTATGGTAAATAAATACAGTGAATTTTAAAGAGTGCATTTATTCTATTGTGGTTTATACGCTATTGACAAAGTAGATTTAATGAAATGCAAGAAAAAATGAGTATCATTTAATATTCCGTACAAGGAAGTCACATGGTGTACACATCAGAATTTTTTTTAACAGAATAGGTGGCCAGTAAATCATTACAATAAACAAATTAGCAAAAAGCAAGGTTTTTTTTTTTTTTTTTTTTTTTTTTTTTTTTTTTTTTTTTTAAGATGAGTTATGTACATTTCCATAACACATTATACTATTACAGTAATAGCATGATAGAATTTATGCCTGCAGTTTATATTTATTAAATATTTTGATAAAATAATTTCAATGAATTTAAATCACTTTCAAAAGCTTTTTTCACATATTTTAAAGTATGATCAACTGAGTGACATCATAAAAGTACCTAAAAATGTAAATTTTATTTCTAAAATTTTAAATTTCTATAGATTTTTGTTTCTAGACCTAAAAGAATCACATCCAAGCACCCTTTTCTATAGATACACATTAAAAGTATGCAAAAACAGACTAAGGGGGGGAATAGAATAACAATTGGCAGTTGGCAGCTGCATGGAAAAAGTGTCTTTGAGGGGGAGTGGTGTAAAATAATATACTGGACTTCAAAATTGATGATTAGATTCTAAGGTTTTTTAAGCTATAGTTTTATATTCTTAGAGTTTGTGAAGTTCATGCTCAATTTTACCATGATTTAAATTCTCTTAAGGGTTAAAGAAGCTAGATATAGAATTTTAGCGTCTAGATTATTAATGAGTGGAATTATAGCATCCAAATTTGTTATCAGCCAATGATATTATCAAGGAAATATTGAAATAGTTCTTTAATACTTCATAGACCATATTCAACGTTTTATTCAAAAGAAAGGTAAATTGCAATAAAAGAATGATAAATGTTTTAAAGTCTCTCTTTATATATATATATATATATATATACAGGGTGATTATAATTAAAGTTTAAGTTTCAAAACGCTATAAAAAAAGAACCACTGATGAAAATGATGTGAAATTTGAAAGGAATGTTATTGAAGAAGGCGGAAAGCGTATGGCAGAAGAAAAAATTTAGTTTCAAAAGTTAGCAACAGATGGCGCTGTAAGCGAGAGAATCACGACGAGAAACGAGAAATGATTCGTAAAACAACGGCTAAGGTGGAAGTTACACATTAAAACGCATTGACAAATTAGAATTGTTGAATAATTTTATTTGCATGACTGTACATATCACATCGAAAGGGACAAATCGGTTTCAAGAGTTTTGCGGCGACATACCGCATAAGAACCATTCATCAAAGAAGTTCGGAACTGTCGCGAGACTGGCGCAAAACATGTTCAATATGGTGTCCACCGTTGTGTGCAACAAGTTGAAAGCGACAAACAGCATGTTCCACAACGGATCGCAGTGTCTCCGGGGTGATGTTCAGAATGTGTTGCGAAATGCGTGCCTTTAATTCCGCTAAATTTGCAATTGGAGCACGGAACACAACATCCTTCAGATATCCCCACAGCCAGAAATCACACGGAGTAAGATCAGGCGATCGGGACGGCCAGGCTGTAGGGAAATGACGGCTGATAATTCGAGCATTTCCGAAATGGCGCCTCAGCAGCTGCTTCACGGGATGTGCAATGTGCGGAGGAGCGCCATCTTGCATAAAAATGATTTCATCCACACATCCACGCTGTTGCAGAGCTGGAATCACGTGGTTGCGCAAAAGAGACGCATACCTCTGACCAGTGACGGTTGCGGTAACAGGACCGGAAGCACCCGTCTGCTCGAAAAAATATGGTTGTAGGATGAATGATGCCGTAAAGCCACACCATACCGTGACCTTTTCAGGATGAAGTGGTACGGGGTGCGTTGCCAGTGGATTTTCTGTTGCCCATATTCGACAATTCTGGGTATTCACGTATCCTGTCAGATGGAAATGGGCTTCATCTGTCCACAAAATTTTCCACGGCCATTCATTATCCACTTCCATGCGAGCCAGGAATTCTAACGCAAACGTCTCCCTAGCTGTCAGGTCAGACGGAAGCAACTCCTGCACATGGCCAATTTTGTACGGATAGCATTGCAGGATGTTTCGTACAATTTTCAGCACCGTGCTCGTAGGCCTGTCCAATGTTCGGGCAATTCCTCGTGCACTGCACGGTTGCACACCACCGGCCGACCCCTCCTGTAATGCTGTGGCCACTTCTTCAACTACCATCGAATGCACTCGTTTTCTCCCTCTACCAGATTGCACATCAAACGAACCTGTCGTTTCAAATTTTTGCATCATTTTCTTTAGACCTACGACACTCATTGGACCAACGCTTTCTTTTATACCCTTCAGTGTCCTGAATTTTTGCAGAGCTACTCTTGCACAATCATCATTCTTGTAATACAGCTTTACCAGCAGAGCGCGGTCCTGCAGTGAAACACCCATGGCGAACGTCTGAGACGCGAAATGAGGAACAGCCTGGTACCTGGCGGCTTTATAACACTGAAATTTAACTAACATTTTAATTTACGTCTTCTTCCGCTTGCAGCGCCATCTGTTGCTAACTTTTGAAACTAAATTTTTTCTTCTGCCATACGCTTTCCGCCTTCTTCAATAACATTCCTTTCAAATTTGGCGTCATTTTCATGAGTGGTTCTTTTTCTATAGCGTTTTGAAACTTAAACTTTAATTATAATCACCCTGTATATATTTACACAAAAAAAAAAAAAAAAAAAAATGTGCCATATACTCAATTATTTTAGTATCAAGATCAGGTATTTCTTTTATTTCATATAGACTGCAAAGTAAATTTACTATTCCCTTCCTTTGGAATTTATACATTTTGACGGAAGTGTATATAAATTCATATATATGGTAATCAATTGTTATGTAAATCAGAAAGTGAATTATTTAACGTTAATACTATTAAGATTAAAAAATTTATATTAATCATGCATTTGCATTTCCTGCCAACTGATATACTCTGCCTTTCCTTTACTTGTAATTCTGTGTTTACCCTTACATGTGTTTGTTTGTCTGCCAGGTGTTTACCCACCACTTCATATTTTTACTGAAGATCTAATCCAAATATCGGCTGATGATATGTGGCCAAGTGATTCAAGACAGCTTATATAAGTGTTGTTTTAAAAGTTGTATATCTTTTTTTTATAGTGTAGCTTTTCTATGTATATACATATACATGTATTCTAGTCATTTTACTTGCATCCTATTAATCATGTATTTTGAGCATTATCATCAAACCAATTTCTTTTTATATATTTAAATATTATTTTATAGAAAAACATAAAATTTACAAATAAACTAGTGTGAAATGCATATCAGCACAACTGCATTTTAAGTATCAAATTATAATCAATATTAATTTTAATTTGTTTTGTTAAGTCTTTATTATTATAGAAAATAAGGGAGAAAACTAATAAAATTATAAACTGAAATGACAGATCAGAGATATTTTGCTGCTTTATAAATATTTCATTCAAAGGGGGGGGAGTTCTATATCTGCCATTCTACTGGGCCAACTGACGAAATTCAAGTCGCATTTTTATCTCTTGAAAGTGCAACTTAGGATATATATTAGATTTATATATAGTATTGTTCTAATACAGGTATTTTGACACAATCAGACTTTTTTATGAAATGAAATGCCAATTTTTTTTTCCATATTTCGATTCTATGACTCAAATTATATCTAAATGTTAAATTTGAAAAATTTGGTGTGAAATTTATGGAGAAATTAAAAAATTTATCTTGTTGCCTTTTTTCAGGGTGTCCAAGAATAATTCACTTGGCGAACTTCTTATATAGCACCAATATGAATATATATATATATATACTATATACCAATATATACATTCTATATCTTAGGAAATTTTGAATAAAAATCTAATTTTTTGCAGCTGTGCTTAGAAATATATCTACTTTATAATGATGGTAAAATTTTTATAGACAATAATTCAAATTTTTTTTCTAAAAATTTATTAATAAAAATAAAAATTTTAAAATGGGTGAATTTTATTCGAAATTAACCTAAATTTCAAAATGTGAAAGAAGGAATCAAGTAAGTTTAATTAAAAAAAAAGAGAGATTAATAAATATATGTTGAGGAGCTAAAAATTTGAGAGCGAATTTTTTAAAAACTACTTGTGGTATTTTTGCAAAACTTGGCAATTTGGCATAATTTGAGTCGTAGAATTAAAATATGGAAAAAAATTATATGTTATTTCAGAAAATGTCCAATTTCATGTCAGAATACTTATGTTAGAACAATATATAAATCTAATACATATCCTAAGTCGCACTTTTGAGACATGAAAAACGCAAGTTGAATTTCATCAATCGGCTCAGTAGAACAGGAAATATAGAACTGTCCCCCCCTTTTTTTTGCACAGTGTCCTCTTTTCCATTTTGAGAAGTATAACTGGAGACGTAATTACAAATCGGCCATTTAGGTATAGAAATTTATAATAGCTTTTCTACTTTTGGAAGATTTTACATCTCAAAATGTTTAAAGTATATTAATTACACCTAAGATTGGCAATTAATCATCACATCTAGATTTTCAATAATGATTTATTGCCAACAAATGCCTGATTAAATATGTATATATTCACTTGTCAGGTTTCCCTCCTTCTCCATTTTAATCACAGTAACAGGGTACTTTGTTCTAAAATGAAAAATAAATAGCTAAAAAGCTTCTTCTGTAGTCCTTTAATTAGTTGCTTATCTAATGAAAAATAAATAGCTAAAAAGCTTCTTCTGGGTCCTTTAATTAGTCACTTATCTAATGAAATTCTGTTATACTTTCTTCAAAGATCTGCTTGTACAACCAGATCCTGTTAACCACTGCTTAGATTCCAAACACTCTATACAAAAATTTTGGCCATGTTTTTCAAACTTGATCTATATCTACTGCTGATGTTTCATGTTTTCATACAGCGATGTCAGTACTACTTAATATCTCAGTAAACCATGTTTCAATTTTGATTGATGCATTACACCTGAAGACACCAATAAACTGTAACAAACCAATAAACTATAACAAGCATTGTCCACACAAAAGCAGATATCTTAAATTTGCTCTATCTTAGAAATTTGAAATAAAATTAGAATGCTCACCATGTATTCATTGTAGAGTGAAAAGGTAAACCTTTGCTCAGATGAATCTATATCTTTGTCAGTGTTATGTGTTGATTAAAATCTTATGCCAGCTAATAAAATTGGTTACCATGCTTGGTAATGTAGATAGCTAGAAGTGCATTGTAATAGACTGCTCCATAGCAAGGTTAAACTGTTTGTAAAATTAATCCTAAAAATAACTGCATGTAAGTAGGAAGCATTTTCAGGAAGATGCTTTAAATTTGTTTGATAAAAAAAAATGTTTTGATCACTAAGATAAGATTACCATATTTGCTGGCATATAAGGCACACTTTTTTCCTTTGAAAATAGGTCTGAAAAAGGGGTGCGTTTTATACATAGATACTCAGTTTTTGATTACTTTCATTTTTGAAAATTTCCTCTATTCGGAATAAGGCGATTTTTGTCTTGTTTCCTTGCGGAGTGTGGGAATATACAGATATGTAGAGTTCAGTGAAGAAACCTGCCCTACTAGTAAGCGATCAGTTTCATTCTCACAGAACAGAAGATGTTAAAAATTAACTGTCTGGGTTTTGACGAGGAAGGTTAAAAGATGTTCTTTCCCAGATAGATTGGGTAATCTGCAGAAAGTATTATCTTGTATTTATATTAATTTATACTTAAAACACTGTAAATGCATTTCGATGATCAGTAATAAAGGTTTATCTTTCAAAAATGTTTATAAAAAGGAGTGCGTCTCATAAGCCGGCAAATACGGTAATTATAAGTGCTTGTAAGATTTTCTAATTTTCTCTTGTGTAAGTATATTGATACAAATCAAAGTTACTTTTTTTAAAAAAATTTAGCAAGAATTAAGATAAAAACTTAAAAAACAAAAAAATTACTTTGCAGCTGAAAACAATGTTGAAAAAAGTTACAATATTCCTGTGAAAAGTGCGATTAAGATGAAGGAAGAAACTGGCGGAAAAAGTGTAAATCTCTTACATATTCAAGAAATAAGATTGTAAATATTTTAACATTCCCCCCTGTAACTTAAATAAAGAATTTCATATTTGATTATCATGTTTTTTCTAAAAATAATTTTCTAAAGAAATATAACCTTTATCATTAAATGTATTTATTCAAGAATTATGAAGGATTGCCATACATATTTTAAAGAACATTTAAAGGAAGAAATAGTATTCTGCTAGAAATTGACTAAAAAAATTGCAATTGATAAATTGGTAAAATTTCACTTAAGAAAATGAGTATAATTATTATGAAATTATCAAAATCACAATACACGAAAATATCTTTGGTTAAAATGCATCATAAATAGTTTTGTAATTTATAACATTTTATAAATTAAAAGAACACAATTAGAACATTTCCTGTTATATGAAAAGAAGAAATGAATTGTTTTTGCATTTTTAAGTGTGATATGGGATGTCATATAATTGTTCAATTTTTGTTGAAAAAATTATTTATTCACACAAATGGAAAGTAAATCATTTTGCTCTGGATTTTTAAAATATAAAGTTATGGCACTAAGTTCACATTTTATGTGACAATGTTGCAAACATTCCAGATAGTATAGCAATGAAGTAATCAAACTTTGTTTATTAAAGTTTTTAGAAATATCTGTTCAGACAAATTTAAAAGTATGTGTAGTGTGTGAGAATTTTTCCTTTTATATTTTCTAGATGCACAGAAATGCATTTAGTAAATGATGGGAAAAATCGTATTTTAAAAAAAAGTACAAAAAGGTTTTTCGAAAGATACTCTGATATAAAGGTTTGATTTTAGTATTTAAAAACTTATACAATTCAGTATTTATAACAACAAGTAGTTCAAACTCTTATTTGTTAAATTGAATATATTTCCAAGTTAAATCATCTTATAAAAATTTTCTGATTATAAAATTTTACTTTAGGATCTAAAATCCCACATGAAAATAATAGTTAGAAAAAATAGTTAAAAACTTTTCTTTAAATAATTTTAGTCAAAATAAATGCTCTGAAAAAATTAACAATGCAAATGATACTTTTACAATACAGAAAATTTCACAAGTCAAATAAGTTTTTCTTTTAAATATCAGATCTATAAACAGGCATTCAAAATGTTATTTACATATTACACACTATATATATAATTATTTTAACTTTCTATTTACAAGTTCTTTTTCTTCTGTTGGAATCAAAGTTTTGACAATTTTCTCTGTTAACTTTTGATGAATGACTCTTGATGTTGTGAATGTATTTCCCAAAAACAAGATGAAAAATATGACAGCAGAAACAAATACCTATAGATTATATGTATTAAAATTATGTAATTTCAAATGACATTTGAAAAAAAAAAGGAAGAGTTATGCTGAACATCCACAAAAGTCCTTTATATTTACAATCACTGGGTCACAGACGTATATTTCTAGTTCCAAAAATGTTTTAAATGGCATAGATATTCATGTGTTGGCTCTTCTACATTTTGTCAGTTTTCTAAAAATTACAAAATCTACTTTTTTTTTCAGTCTGCAGCCTCTATAATTAATTATATTAAAAAATTTATTATGCTTATTATACAAAAAATTCCCAAGAAGCAAACATTGAAAGCAAACTATCAAATTAATGAACATCTATGTGGTATGTATTTGCAGCTTATACACTGTCTTAACACTAAAGAAACTGTCTAACCAAACATTAGAAAACAGCCTCCATTTTCTACAGTGCCACTCTAGATATTTTTCTCCAATTTAGTTCAGGGTTAAAAGATATTTTTGCGTTGTCATACCTCAAAGATATAGTGTTATTAGAAACTTTTGATGAACATTATCACCTTTTAGAAAAATGTCTGAAAGACTTTCTTTGCAAATGCATTTCATTATTGATGGAGCAAAGTGTCTAGGTCACCAGCTTATAGAAAGTATAGAAGTAGATGCTGACAAAGTACCTTCCATTCAGAAAATTCTTGAACCAACATCTAGGCCACCAGCTTATAGAAAGTATAGAAGTAGATGCTGACAAAGTACCTTCCATCTAGAAAATTCTTGAACCAACATCCGTAAAGGAATTTCGTTCTTTTCTACAGACACGTTCCTGATTCCGAAGATATGTCCCTAATTTTTCAGAAATTAAAAGACGGGGGGGGGGAAGACTCTTAATGACTTAACAAAAAGGAACAAACAGTGGGCATGGGGTGAAGCTTAACAAAAAACTCCTGAAGAGTTGAAGAGATGGTTGAACTTACCACCTATGTTATCTCAATTTGATGAAACTAAACCGCTCATTATTAGGACAAACGCCAGTAATTATGCTTTAGTAACAATCCTTATCCAATGCCCAGAAGAACATGTGACTGAGTATGCGAGTAAATTGCTAAACTCGACAAAAAGAAATAATTTAAATACTGAGAGAGAAGCTCTTGCTGTGATTTGGGCTCTAGAGAAGTTTCGTGCTATTCGGATAATCAAGCAGTAATAACTGCATCAGACCACCAACCTCCTAAGGTGTCTAAATATAAGTATTAAATAACCATCTGGTTGTTTGGCTTGATGTACTCTTCAGATCCAGTCACAATACCCAAAAATTTTCCGATACTCCAAGAAAATCGACTGTTAGAGCAGACTTTCTTTCTAGACCATTTTATGCAAATAATGACTTGATGATTTAAATGCTGTTTCCATAGATTTACCATCCCAGAAATCTGAAGACATTCAAGATGAGCAAATGAAAGTTGAAGCTATAAGGAAGATTACAGAATGTTCTGCCAACACAGACTCCGAAGAGACTCAAGTTAATGGTCCCTTGTCAAGAGCATGAACAAGCCTTAAAGCAGTATCACCATTCTTCCACTGCAGGACATTGTGAAGCCTACACCCACCTACTTTTATTTAAATTTTATGTGATTTTTATCTATTTGTGGAACCAGCAGACTGATAAGACATCCAAAAGCAGCTCTTGTTTTTTGAAGGTTTGTTTGCATAATTAATTCAATCAATTTACTACTTTATTTCTTTTATAAAGTTATACAGATTTGTTCATTTACTTATTTTACCTTCACCTATTCTGTATCGCTCCTAAGTGAAAATCTTTAAGCCTATATTATAGTCAGGGCTTAATTTCTAAAATTAGAAGTGCTTGGAGCTATATCGAGTATCAGCAGGAATGGAAACAAAAGTGAATAAATAAAGTAATAGATAAGGAATAAATAATGAATATTTAAAATAAAATATTAAACAAGTTAATGCAGTCAAATACCGAAAATCCACCAACTCCTAAAATATGGGTTTCCTCTCAAAATATAAACATTCAGTTTATAGGTTCCGGAAACCGCAACATTGAGTACGAAATATTGAAGAAAAAATACTTACCAAATAATAACGTCATAATTACCGCATAATAATGAGTAATAACGGAAATACCAAATTATTGACATCATGATAAGTTTTTTTCCCTCTATTCTACATTGAGGTAAAAAAGCAGACGATTCACTCAACTCTTCTTTCTAGTTCACGATTCACATTGTTGCATTTTCTGAGCTTTGTTATTTCACGAGATTATTTAATGCTGCCTTTTTTTCATCCGGATATTTTGTAGATAAATAAAGAATATTTTAAATTTCAGCCCTTTTTAATACAATGACAGATAAGAAACGCACTCATGATTTTACTGCTTGGAACCTTGAAAAACGTAAACACATTGCATTGACAATAATGCAAAAAGTGCAAATTCTGCAGAAGATAGAGGCAGGTTCCACTCCTCGGTTTATAGCAGAATCATATGGAATTGCGACACGATTGTGTATGATATACGGAAAAATAAAGAAAAGCTGTTGAAATTTTACAGCAAAAGTGATTCTAACACCGGAATCCGAAACCAGAAATCTTTGCACGAGGCGAAATCGGCAAACCTGGATGCTGTGTACATATAATACAATGAATAATATAATCAATTTATATATGTAATAATAATTTAATTAAATGTATCTAATACGCCTTATTTACTTTGCACTTTGAGTCTGAATATTAAGATTTATCTTTTCTGTCCTGAAATCCGCACAACCTCTGGTCCCAAGCTTTGCGGATTTCTGGACTTCTATTGTAATAAGTAAGTAAATGAATGAATTAAAAATGTCAGCATAAAAATTATATGAGCAAATTAATAGTAACTTAAAGTCAAAAACATTAAATGAAGTTATTAAACAAATGAAAGGTAAGTTCATAATAACAAGACATGATCCAGAAGATAAAGGTACATTTTCTTTCTTTCAAATAGCAGGAAACTTATATTTCTCCTGCATTTGTCTAGAACAGCTGAATCGATCGGTCATTTAGCCACCTCATCACTGAGAAAATTGTACTACTAGATGTGAAATGATATTAGGTTCATGAGAAAAAAAGGACAAATAAATAAATAAGTCTTACACAGGCTTCAAACCCTCATCCTGCAATTCAGAGTAGTAGTCAGCATCCTGGTTCATGTAAAACAGCTTCACCAACAAAAGCTTTTTCTTTTCCACTTTTTTCCACCATCCTTGTTCACTTATATGGGATGCAATGGAGAACTGGTTCTGGATCAGGAGTGTAAGTATTTACAATCGCCTGTCTCACTTGCATATTTCCAACTAAGTCGTTCATACCAGCACCGTCTGTTGATTGTTTTTTTAATTTTTCTTATCTTAAAAAAAAAAAAAATCCCGTGACCAATCAATGCTAAACCTGCAAACCATTTTTTATTTTGATTATTTTTTCTAGTTTTTAATTTTTAAAGTTTTTACAGATATTCTGCCCACTCTGTATTTCATAATTGTCACGTCTATTTCAAGGCATGTGTATTACGAAAAGTAATATTTACATTAGCATGTAGAAAACTGTAAAATTGTCAACTTTGACAATTTTTAGGAACGTTTTAAGTGGCCCCTTGAAAGCAACTTCACCCTACAGCTAAACTAAACTGAAATAGGCCAATAGGTAATTTTTTATGTTTATTGTAGGCATACTGTAGTTTTAGTTTGTCTACCATCAGACATTGTTCCAAAGTACTTTTGTGAAAGGTTAGCCCAACTTAAAAACAAGAGGAAATGTTTACGTTTTTTACTCATTAACGATTTTTTTAAATATTTTTTATATATTTTTTTTTTCAATTTCAAATAAAATAGGTAATAGACCCTATTTTATTTATAAAATGGTTCAACAGCATACGCACGTCTGACCGGCCGCAGATTTTCCCTAATAATAAGAGCAATTGTTTATTGCTACAGCTCCGATTGATAGGATATTTTTAAGTAACCCCGGGAAAAAGCAATTAATAGGCTATTGGTCATTAGTCATTGGCGAAAAAAGCCGATTAATAGGCAATCAGTTGATAAAGTTTTAACAAAGAAGTTATCAATGAATCAGAGCATCAACGGTGTTCGTCATAGCCAGACAGCATTGGAAAAAACATTCTAATTGGAGGTAAAAAGAAAAAACTCAAAATAACAAGAAAATTTGATTCAATCTACTTAAAATTTGGATTTATTACAAAATCTGGTAGTGAGCTAGATCTACGGCCTGTTTGTATTATGAGTTTATCTAACGATGCTATGAAACCTTCAAAACTCGAAAGACACTTGAAATCCAAACACCCAGATTTAGTTAAGAAACCACCTTAATATTTTCAAAGGATGCAGGAAAATATGCAAAAACAAGTAGTTGCTTTATAAAATGTGGTTTTTGAAGAGGTAACCCTTAAAAGGGCTGTTTTTATGAGTTCAGATATATATGAGGTGGTTTAAAACTGTATGTCAAAAATGTACAGGGAGCTCAAAAAGCAGATTTCGTATAGGAATATGTATGTGTGGTAATGCTGCATTTAAGCGCTAGCTTGTAAAGCAGTATGAATCACAGGAAACTGAAAAGACAAAAGAAGAAAATACAAACAGTTTACAACAGGTGTTGGAAAGAGCGGCCACTACAGCAATACAAGAATCATAGCGGCGGCGCATAGATCAGTGTGCATCAAAAAAGACGTCAGGCATATCAAACACATGTCCAGCAGTGATGAGACTCTCATGCATGAGGCTTTAATTTATGACCCCAAAAGAAGAAATCCAAGCAGGTCCAGGGAACTGGTCCACACCGTCCTATCAAATGCTGGCGATAGACAGCGTCCACGTGATTCTTGACATTCTGGCCAAAGTGAGCTGGGGCTCCATCATGCTGGAACCACATTTATCCACCAACAGGCAAAGTTGAAACATGGAATATAACCATCAGGGGCCATTGCTTGCACTCTCTGTAAATGATGCGGATGCATTCCGTCTTCA